ATAATTTCTTTGAAAGAATATTTATTTAAGTGATAAACTCTAATTAAAGATATTGAATTTATAAAATGAAACTCTGATTATACAGATTTTTTTAAAATTATGAACTCATCTCACCTCAATGTAAATTATTATATATCAAAAAAACTTTAAGAATAAATTTTACAACAATAAGGTAATTTATTTTAAAAACAACTTATTTAATTAAGTTAACTAAAAACATAGTGATGTGAATGTTAAACGTTTATATTATTCAATTAAAATATACTACAATTACTTTATTACGATATCAGTGACGCAAGAATCGCCACAAATATAATGATAATTGTGCAATTGTTTGTGTTTTTATTTACAGCGGTATTATTATAAATATACTATGGTGTGTAACTTTATTTAAGTATGTATACTCACACACTGTACAAGTATGTAAAAACGAAAGATATCTTCGATAGTTAAGACACATAAACCTACGAGTGGTGAATATAGAATCTATATATAGAAATATTTACTCTCGTTTAAAGAGGAGTGTTATACCTGTGTTCCTTATTTATGAAAACACATTTTTTTTTGTTTTGTTTCTATGCAGTGTTTACATGTAACCCAGTGTTTCTCAACCGGGAGCGATATCGCCCCCATGTGGGCGTTTTGTAACAATTTCTATTTTGGAGGGCGAAAAACAATTTTCTGGGCGATATAGTAAAACATTATATTAAGAACAATTAGATATTTTATTCGTTATATCGTACAATAATTAAACAAATAACATTATACTAGTCATTAGTCTATTTAATGAAGTACGAATTTGGCATTAGCCTTGGCCCTAGGCATCGGAATTTTGAAGTGAAGGGGGCGATCATTCGTTAGAGGTTGAGAAACACTGATGTAACCGGATATTTTTTTGAAAGGAAATACATTTCCTGGAAGGAGTATAGATAATAATGGCGGTTTCGTGCTCTCAACAGATTCGTAAGTAGCTGCATTAAATATTAAATTACTTTATAAAAATCGATTAAAGTGTAAGATAGAATACGAAATTAGTATAATTCTCATTCTCACCATTAAGGAGAATATAAGTAAATGGTCGTGTATAATTGTCAACCCTCTAAACAATCTAAAGCATCGACGATTGTCGTCGTAATAACTTAAAAATTAATAATAGAACTATGGGTTAGATTGAAGCAAAAATATTCCCTCCCTTAGACTTAGTTAGACTATATTAACGAATAGACA